CGAAACTATAGCTTTCCATTTTGGGTTAAATGATGATGGGATATATAATGAGAATGAAACTGTAGATTACCCATTTGTTCCAAACGCTAGTGTTAGTACTCTACGATCTCATCACGATCGTTTTCTTCATCTGATGATTTCTTAGTGGTTTAGACCATTCGGAGGTAGGTACTCCACTCTTCGTATTAGGGATTTATGGAGGATGCACTGTCTCAAGAATAAAATCAAAATCAATCTACCCCACATTATCTTCAGTCAACTAGTTGATGTCATAAACATTGTTCCTTCAAAACATGTCGAAACATTAGTTTATGGATGTCTTCTTAGTAACCTCTTTATCAAACTTGGCCTAGATGTCTCTCTCGACAATCCTATCCCACTCCAAAACCAAATCAATCTTACTTCCTTGAAGAAAGCAGATTGGAAACAAGACGAGGTAACCGGTCAATGGGTTTTTAAACCCGGTAAATTAACTCAGGGAGCTAGTTCCTCACGAGCTGCTCATAACTCCTCTCGTGCTCCTCCTCCTGCTGCTGCTCCGGCTTCTAACGATGATCCTGAATTTCAACAGCTTATGCAAGACATCGATGATCACGTACCCGATGATGAGCCTGCACCGGAACCAGCTCCACAAGAAGATCAAATGCCTCCATATTTTCGTTCGTTTTTGGAGACATTTGATTTACGGTATGCGTCCATGGATTCGCGCTTCACATTTATTGAGTCCCAGCTCTCTACCTTGGGAGCTCGACAACAAGATATGAATGATCGTTTGATGCACTCACGCTTGAGATGAGAGCTCGTTACCCTCCTCCTCATCCCGATCCTTCGATGGATGAATATACTTATCTTGCTTTGATTGTCTTTGGGTTTGAACTTGAATTTAAATTGTTAAAACATTTTGGATTGTCTTTCTTTGATTGTTGGATGTTTGTTTGATGGATATTTGAACTTTTATTTCATATATATTTTGGTTTGTTTCAATATATGCATCATTTACTTTTTAGTTGAAATATGACCAATTTACCATTTCACATGAATATTGATTTATGAAACTAATGGCTAATCTCTCTTTTGATTGTGATCTTAGCAGCTTAAGCTTTATATTAATCAATTGGCTTATGTTTTTCAAAATTATTGTTTAAAACATTTTATAAAGTCTTTTTGATTTAACAAAAAGGGGGAGATGTGTTATAGTAAGGGGGAGTAATAATAATTTTGATTTCAAAAATAATTTTCTTAAATAAATCTTAAAATTACCCAAGTGTTTTGTTATATCAAAAAGGGGAAATTGTTGAAAACATTTTGATATTTCGATATAACAAATTAAGTTAAATGAATTTTAAGATTTTACAAATGATTTTCTAAGTTATATTCGAATTAATTAATTTGATATCAAATTATTACTCCAAGTCTTTCAAGATCAATTTCAATCCTTACTAAATGTGTAAAATTGTGATTTATACTTAAACTATTTTTGAAACAATTTTCACAAAGTATTTTGAACCAAAATCAAGCTTTAAATCAATTTTTCAAAGGCATGCACCGATACATCAATCCATGCATCGATGCACCATTGAATAAATTGAACATCGAATGCATTTCATGCATCAATGCACTCTCTATGCATCGATGCACTTGGGTTTTATTAAAACATCGAATGCATTTCATGCATCGATGCACAAGCAATGCACCGATGCACTCAGACTATTTTCAAACATCGAATGCATTTAATGCATCGATGCACACTTGGTGCACTGATGCACTAAGTGTTCCAACGGTCAAAATATTTGAATTTTACACTGATGCACCGATGCATCGACGTTCCCAACCAGTTTTATTAATTGTTTTCACATAATAACGGCTATATTAACTCCACTAATCATCCCCAACGTTCAGAATCATTTGAAGGTGTATTTAAACAAGCTTAGAAGCCATTGATCAATAACAAGAAACATTAAGCAACTAGAATCAAGAGAGAAACAAAGAGAAAGCATCAAACCTCAAGTTTGAACATTTCAAGCCTATTTTTCATTCAATATTCATTTTGCTTTCAAGAACACTACTTGTACTCAATTGTATTCATTCTTGAGTCTTATTTTCTTTGTTCTAGAATTGTGCAAACAATCTACCTTGTGAGGATTTCCTTGTAAGTTTGCAAATTTGTATTGTTCTCTTTAGGAGAGAGTGTTCTCAAGAATTTGGGGTATAATTCTTGAGGGTTTGTAAGGTTATTCTTTGTCCTCAAAAGAAAGACAAATTAATGAATTTGTGGAAAATCATTAGTTTGAATAGCTAAGGTAGTGGACGTAGACTTTGGTTGAAAAAGTCGAATCACTCTAAATCGCTGTGCAATTACTTTCAATTTTCTGCAAAAGCTTCCACCAAATTTTTAATTGTCAATTCACCCCCCTCTTGGCCGATTCCGTCAATCGATTAACTCAACACGAGGTAATACTCTACTATCTTTTGTATGCTTTTCGAAACTCATGGATAGATGATAATTGCTTGATTGGAATAATTGGTCCGTTAGGGTAGTTAACTATCTTCGGACTCATACGAAAATTAGATTAAGGACGGAACACTGTATAAGACTCTAACGCCTCGAAAAAGAAATTAATATACTCGGAAACAAATCTCAGTTCAATGAATAAATCAGTGAATCAATCTATCTCAGAAAGTGTAATTTCTGACTAATCTCATTAAGTATTAAATGTAGGAAATATTTGGATATGAAATTACCGAAAGGAGCACTATGGATAAATTACGAAAATGCTCTTGTATTGAAAAAGGGCCAAAACTTTCTTTAGTTGTGAAATTAGTCTCTAATGAGCAAATGAGCAAAGTACTCTGATCTTTAATGGAATTGAAATACTTTCAAGCATAATTTATCGAAGTAATGCCACTGTCGGAATTGAATAAAATTACAATAATACCCTTCAAGAGTAAAACGAAATATAGATGACTATGATAATAGAGATGACCTGAGAACTCATACCTTGATTCACGGGAACCTTGGAATCATCGAATTAAATTCCGAATCTATATTGGAATTATAAAAATACCCCTAAAGTGTAAAATGACAAAATACCCCTAAAGTGTAAAATGGCCTAAAATACCTCTAAACCCTGGAATTTCTATTACCCACAGCTCTAAAATGAACTGAATAAACTGAATGAAAGTATTGTATGTATATGAATCGTTGAAACGACCGAATTACTCTGAAAACTTCGAAGTGACCAGGATATACTTGACTAATAAATGAACTTAACAACCTCAATGATTGAGGATTAAGTAAATGATTTGGATAAGTCTGAAAACTCTGATGAACTTACATGATATATCATCCCTATGGGTTATGAACCATAAATCAAGTGAGTCGGCATTTCCTGATACCGTTGAAACATGGTAATGAAATAAAGACCTATGGAATATATGTTCATCTTCTTAAGATATATTCAGCGATGATTCTAAAGATGATCTATGGACAAATATTATTGGTATTAAAGAGTAAATACCCTAGAAGGACAATGAATTGATCATTCGACAGGCATTAGTTCAGGGAGTTATTTAGCTCGAGTTGTTCGATAATTCGATCGATCGACACAGGTGGTAAATGTCTTGAATATTCGTTCTCCCTTATTAGCTCAAATCACTCTAATCATATCTAAAGACATCAGTAACTCAGATGCAAAGGATTCTGAATACCCTTCTAATTACTTAGTGCCTTCAAAAAACGTCTGAATACTATATGATACTAATAAATCACATTATGAATAACTGATGATTCCATCAACTAATGAACTCTTCCGATATTGATTCTAACTTATGACATTTTGTCAGTATATTGAAGATCGGTGTTTTTCTGTCTGATAAGATTATCTTGTATCTCCGAATCATATCCGGAAACTCTAGTGTTCCCTAATCACATGAATGTTTTATCTGATTTCTGTTATGATTTCTGATCCACATTCTATTATGATATCTGATACGGATTATATTATGATATCTGATATGGATTCTGTTATGATATCTGATCTGAATTTTGTTCTGATTTCTGATTTCTGTTTATTGAATGAAAATGTTTTATTTTGGATACTCTGGGATCTGGTATGAAGACTCTGACAGGTTCTGTCATTGCGATTAATTCCTTTTATAGGCTCTGCACCGACTGATAATTCCTTACGAACCTAAAGCGACCCTTGAGTAGGCTTTGCGACACTGAGATTTTCTTGGGTAAGCCTCCGTGGCCCTGAGAATTTTCTTGGGTAGGCTCGCAGGCCCCAAGATACTCCCTTAGATTATATAGTTCTGGGGAACTGCATTGGCTTTTGGTTGAAGAGACTACTATGATTTTAAAAAGATCTATATATTTTCACTGGTTTTTGTGGGAACACACTAGACAATCTATTCTAATCTCCTGAACCTAGACATCCAAAATATTTTCATATGAACTGAAAGTTTACTGTCTGTTCTACCTGAAATATCCGTAGGATCTCCGCTCAGCATAAAAATCTTTAAATGTCTGAACCAATTAGGAAACATACGATTATATGTCATCTGCATGTCCTGTAACATCATCTGGTAGTTCTATATTACTGAGCTTCCCAAAGCTCACTCTGTTACCTTTTCAGGTTAAAAGAATTGTATCAATACATCTATCGACATCAGTAAGGGAGTTTTTCCGGCATTGCTTGCAGAATATGATACATGTGATCAGGGAGCATGTAGATTGTATTTTGTTTTATACTTGAATTTGAAAATCTGTTTTATTTTCTGAATACTGATAAATTTTATTTTATAATCATAAATCATTTTATAAGTTTACATGTTTTAATAAAAGTTTAAAATTTTCCAAGATTTTTACGGTGGATCGCTCTGGTGGCCCTAACGTGACCCTTTGGAAATGACAAAATCAACATGATTTTGAAGCATAAACATTTGTTCAAAAGGTAAAATATTCAGCAAAGAACAAGTTTATAGGACAGACACACTATCGGTTTCAGTGTAAAATACACACATATATATATTGCTTCTTTCACTAAATTTCTGCAAGAGCATCATGCATTTCATAAATGAACGATCTCAACTTGGTCCCATAAAACACTCATGCAAAACATAGAACATATCACTAAATAATATATGCACAAATACTGGGATCTCACATCTTCATAAGTTCATGTATAACCACTTCACAGTTTTTTCTCTCGAAAATCAGAAAGTGCCCGGCATCAGGAACCTCATGATAACGAATCCAAGGAAGTTTTTCGGAGATATAACGACTTACCTGAAATGGAATGATTTTGTCTTCATAACCTTGCCAAATATGGACCGAGCCCTCATTGTTAGGAAAAGGATTAACGAGATCGGACGGATCGAATTCCCATTTTCCATAACTGACCATAATGTCACGATGCAGAGATTCGTAAACACCTTGCTGCCGAATCTTCTCCTGCAGACAGACAGACAGCTAATCAACATATGTTGCAGATACTTGCTGTGCAACTTAAATGACTTATGTATTCAATAGTGGAATGAAATATCCAAGGAAGTAGCATATGGAAAATCTAAGGTCTGCATTGTATGCTCGGTGACATTACGAATCACAATAGTCATATGTTTCAATAAATCGAGTTATAAGAACATAACAACCTGACCAACGCTTGGAGCCTCGGACCACTTCTTCAAGACCTCTAAATCACTTGGGCTGAAAATCGTCAAGTTTCCGGCCAACATGCTTAATGAAGGGAACCATTTCTGGGACATCCACCAGTAGAACAACCAAGGGGTATAATGAGCAACTCGGAATGACCATTGGTCTTGTGCAAGCAACCTACTGAATCCCTCTTTCAATAAATTTGCAGGAAGACGAGGCCACCAATAGTTGACAAATGGAACAACAAGCGAAGCTCCTGCCAACCTGTAAATAAGAGAAGAGCCATTGCCAAAGTAACTTCTTTCATTTTTGTAGAATTAGAAAACAACAATTTTACAATGTTAAAAGGAAAAGAAACATAGAAGCTTATAATGCATGCATGAACAAGTTGAGGAGCATGCCTTTGAGGTATGTATTTTAAGCAACTGTAAACAGGGTATGCTCCCATCGAGATCCCAATCACATAGAACTTGGAGCCAATCTGCAACTTATCAGCTAGTTCCTGAACATCATATGCTTCGCTCTTCACCGAGCGCGATGGATTCGGATCACTGTCTCCGTAACCCGCTCTGTCAAAGAAGAGGAAATAGATCCTCAGTTCCTCTATAAGTTCCTGAAAACCAAACATTTTGTCATATTCAGAGTATCTTCTTTTCAAACAAAAAACTTCAGCTTTGTTGAAGATGACAACTAAAATCAAGAAGTCTTTGAAAACAATATAACGAGTAATTGACCAGTTATGGTCCACCAAAGAAGGGATATTCCATTGAAGAAAAGGAAGGAGTCTCACTTATTCTCTTTCATTAAATTAGCAACTCTCAAGTATTACTGTTTTAGCAGTTGCTGAAAACACCACGGACAAGTTCAGAACAAGATATGATAAGCTATGAAAAAAATGCAAAAAAAAAAAAAAAAATCAAAAGTTCATACTTGAGATGTGGGCAAATTCAGATCTTTGGAGCTGTCAAAGCCATGAATGACAACAATTTTGTACTTGGCCTCTTCCCTGGGAACTCCAGCTTCCCTGTAAGCCAAGTGCCTTCCATCATCAAGCTTAATTCTGGGAGAAGTTACAGGTGGCCCATCTGCTGAGCCACAAATCCTTGGAGGGGGTGGCTTTAATGCCTGGTAAGCCCATCCCAGAAGACCTACAGTCAAAGCTACAGCAATAGGTGCAATCATTGCTGCAAAGGGAGAAGAAAAACCATATTTCCGACCCGGATTAATCCATTAATAAATCGAATACCGATTATTATATAAAAAAAACCATACATCCATCGTCATATCAGAAAGAATTCAAGCAAGAGGAAGAATCAGAAACAACTCAAAATAGGAAGCTTCTTAAGTACACAATAAGTAACGAATTTTTAGAGATTTACCCGTAATACTCTGGAACAACGAGTTGATCTAAAAAGCTGGATGAATTAGAAAGAAACAAGAGGGAATTAAAGACCCCAACCTGGAAATGAAATGGATTTGGGTGTTTTAAGCCTGGTATGAGCTCTGGCAGATGCAGCTGAGACCTTCTTCCGCATATGGTCACTTGCCATTAAGACTTTAAATTATGCTATAAAAAAACAAAAAGCCGATATTCATGAAAAAGACATAAAGTTGTCACCGGTTTTTGATGGTGACAAACGATATTTATGCCATTGCAAGAAACGTATCCAGCATTCAATAAAAATAAAGAGAAAATCACCTGACCAAAAATGCTTTATAATATACGATTTTAATCAATTTTTTTTGGATTTGCCAAAATGACCAACAAAATCGCAACGCGAAATAAAAATCGCAACGCGATCCCCAGAATCGCAAATCAGTTTCCAAAATCGCAACGCGATTCTTGAAAATCGCAATGCGATAGTACAAATTCGCATTGCGATTTTCAAGAATCGCAACGCGAATATGAAAATCGCAACGCGAACACATAAATCGCAACGCGTATCCGTAAACCGCAACGTGTATCCGTAAATAGCAACGCGTATCCGTAAATCGCAATGCGTATCCATATATCGCAACGCGTATCCGTAAATCGCAACGATAATCCGTAAATCGCAACGAGAATCTGTAAATCGCAACGATAATCCGTAAATCGCAACGAGAATCTGTAAATCACAACACTGAAATTTTGGGTATATAACTACGCAACAGCAGCAAATCATAAACTAAATCCCTAAATCGCAACTCATTCCATCTCCATCTATCACTCTCTCTGACGACATCCGTTCCTATATCCAACGACATCCTTCCCAATCCGGCAACAGGTTTTAGTTTCGCAGCTCGTCTGTTTAGTAAATTAATTTACAACCATGAAATCATCTAATGTTGATCATGTTTGGATAGATTTGTGTTTTGGAGGGTCATGAGATAATGTTCATGGTGTTTTACAATATATGCCTTTACCCATGAATCTTCAACTAAAATTGTCTTTACAAAAGTTAACTTATGAAACTCTAATGCTACGTGTTTCAAATAAATTGAATTTAGAGCCCCTAAGTGGATTTAGGCTATCTTATCAGAGAAATGGTAAAGTTTATTTGTTAACCGACAATGAAGATGTTGAACGATTCATTGCTTACATTAGTGTTTCACAAGATGATGTTACATTGTATGTTGTTGAACCTAGAAGTAGTATTGTTGGGTCAGTAGCGGGTAGTAATCAACTAAGTTTTTCTCAAAACCCACAACCTTTCTCTAATCCAAATCCCAATCAACTTTCAGCACCAAATTCCGGTTTTCGTATTGACCAGTTAGACGATGATGAGCCAACAGAAAAAATTGTGAGTACTAGTCAGTATTCGAAATTTGGTCTTGGTCAATATCCGGACTTTGATATTGGTCAATACACGGATTTTGATGATGTTTCAGAAGAAGAAACAGACCCTGCGTGTAATGATTTTGATATTGGTCAATACCCGAATTTTGATGATGAAACAGCCGTTGCCGAAGAATGTATTGTTGATGATAATGAGGAGGAAGTTACGACTGTGAATGAACATGTTGAACATCCATTCTGTAATTCATATAATCCTGAAGAAGAAAAAAAGAAGAAAAGTCCCCGAAGAAAAGAAAATGCCACGGGCGTATAACTGGAATATGCCAGAATTACTTCAGATACCGGAAGAAGAGTTGGTAAAGAAAGCAGTTGATTGTTACACAAAAGTTATTCGTATCAAGAAAGATGATTGTTTTGATACAAAGGAAGACTTGAAGATAGCTTTGTATACGAAATGTGTGGAAGATGGCTATCAACTAAAAGTTAACAAATCAAGCAAAGATCGTTTCGAAACAAGGTGTATGATTGACAAAAACTGTACGTGGCGTATGATTGCAAAGAGAATAAAAGATTGCGAAATGTTTCAAGTTAGGACTTTTATTGATAAACATACATGTTCAAGAACCCAAGTTTTTCCTCACCATAGACAGGCAAACAAAAAGGTGTTGGGTGGTTTTCTGGCTGAGTTAATGTTTTTGAATGGCAGGGTATATCGGGGACATGAAATTATGACTGACATGAATGCTCGGTTCAAGATTAGTATATCATATTCTCAAGCTTGGAGAGCCAAATGTTATGCCTTGGAATTGTTGAGGGGGTCGCCAGAAGCATCGTTTGCCCAACTGCCGGCTTATTGTCACAATTTAAAGCTGAAAAATCCTGGGTTGGTAACTCATATCAAAACAGATAGAGATGGACACTTTGAGTTGCTGTTTATCGCCATTGGTGCTACGGTTAGTAAATCAATATAATTTTGTTGACTCATTTTTGTTAGTTACATGCATTTCACATTTAAATGATTATATTTCTTGTGTATATTATTTTGTAGATTCGTTCGTTTATTACTTGCATGCGCCCAGTTATTATAGTTGACGGAGCACATTTGAAAGGTCGATACCTTGGAGTAAACTTATTAGCAGTAGCCATGGATGCTAACAATGGGATATTGCCAATAGCTTACGGGGTTGGCAAATCTGAAACCTCTGATTCATGGACATGGTTTATGGGGCATCTTAGGGATTGTATAGGTCCTATTAGCAATCTGACAATCATATCCGATAGGGCAAACTCAATTGACAACGCTGTTAGAAGGTGTTTCCCAGATGCTTTTCATGGACTTTGTGGTGTTCATTTGTATAGAAATCTAAAATCAAGGTCTGCTGGTATAAAAAAGCACAAATGGACATACTGGAAGGCTGTAAAAGCTTATCGGGAAGTAGATTTCAATAAGCATATAAATTGTTTAAGACGTGTTTTGCCTCAGTGTGCTCAAACACTAGAAGATGTCGGGTTTGAAAGATGGTCAAGAGTACATCAACTTGGAGCAAGATATGGTTTCATGACGTCTAATAGTGCAGAATCAATCAACGCTCTAAGTCGTCATTCCCGGAAATTACCCATTACTATGTTAATGGAGTTTTTTCGAGCCTCTATTCAACAGTGGTACTACAAGAAAAGAAACCATGCAGGTATTATTTCTTTGAATTCGTAACTTATCATATTTATATTTTACTAAGTATTGTTTATTTAAATTTACAGGAACATTGGAACATCGTGTTACACCATGGACTGAAAAAAAGATAACGAAACGTGTTGTGAAGTCAACGTCATGGAGAGTTGAACCATGTTCAAACACTTTGTTTCAAGTACTGGATAATAACTTAAATGGGCTAGTCGATCTGAATGCAAAGACGTGTAGTTGTATGAAATGGCAAACATCTGGTTATCCGTGTGGCCATGTTATAAAAGTTGCTCTTCATTTAAACCAAGATGATTCAAGCGCATACGCTATGGATTGCTACACTACAGAAGTTTATCGACAGACTTATGCCGAGATTGTCTACCCTATTCCACATCCTTCTGAGTGGGACATACCAGATGACTTACAAACAGTTTTGCCACCAGCCATGGACAGAAGGCTACCTGGCCGACCAAAAAGTCACGATCGTATACCGTCTAAGGGTGAAGAGAAGAAGAGATCGACATGTAGTCGGTGCAAGGAAAGTGGTCATACAAGGTTGACATGTGGATCACCAGTGCCATCAAAATCATCTTTTCCTCTACCAAAATATGGATCCTCATCAAAATCCAAAGCTCATATGGTGTCAAGCAAAAGGCAATCATCTTTAAAATCCCAATCACAATTGGCTTCACCTTTTGGGACTGTTAACTTAGGTGATTTTTAAATGCAAACGTTGTATTATGTGGATTTTATGTGTGAACTTTTAACATTTTCAGTTGAATTAATGACTCAGGCCAACCATTTTGACTTAACCAACTCTTGTTATTCAGTTGTTATCACTTATTAGGCATGCATTTGACTATCGCAACACAGAAATTACAATCGCAACGAGAGAATCGCAATGCGAAATGAAAATTCCAACATGAAAATCGCAATGCGGAAATGAAAATCGCAATGCGAAATGAAAATCGCAATGCGAAATGAAAATCGCAACGAGAGAATCGCAATGCGGAAATGAAAATCACAATGCGAAATGAAAATCGCAACGAGAGAATCGCAATGCGAAATGAAAATCGCAATGCGAAATGAAAATCGCAACGAGAGAATCGCAATGCGAAATGAAAATCGCAACGAGAGAATCGCAATGCAGAAATGAAAATCGCAATGCGAAATGAAAATCGCATTGCGATTCTCTCGTTGCGATTTTCATTTCCGCATTGCGATTTTCATTTCGCATTGCGATTCTCTCGTTGCGATTTTCATTTCGCATTGCGATTTTCATTTCGCATTGCGATAGTCATTTTTGCCTTCAACATAATGCAGATTGAAATCAACAAAATCAACCATTACATTTCAATCAATTAAACAAGCACAAATAAGAATTATGTTCGCATCAATTACACAAATCAACTTTTACAAATCATCTTTTACAAATCAATTAAACAATCAAAAATAAGCAATAATTCTTATTTCCAATCATCTACTATTGAATCAACTTTTACAAATCAATTAAACAATCAAAAAACAATCAATTAAACTATTGAATCAACTTTTGCAGCCATACATCATTTTCACGCAGTTCACTTCTGAGATTAACCTGCAGAAACCAAACATTTGCTCAAACAACACTTTCTACACATCTAAAACCTACAAACAGCAAATTATTGAATTCTAGGTACTTAACCAAACATTTTCAAACCAAAAGTCTATAAACTTACCAATTGTTTATGGACATTTTTATAACGCGGATGCAGGTAGGCAGCGTCTCGTATATATCGATTTAGCCATATAATGTCGAAACCACAAGCCTACTGCAGCTCTATCTCTATCGGTGGGAGGTAGATACTTGGTGCTTCCCGTCGTCAAACGCTCCAACGCCAAGCATACGAGAGGACCACAATCTCCTCTGGCTCCTTCCGTTTGTTGTGGCGCGGTCTCGTCTCTAATAACTGTAATATTGAGCTTCTTTGGCTTCTTGTTTCCAGAACGAGTCCAATAATTGATCGCATCCAAGAATTTAGCCAAATGAGAGCTCCATCCCTTAATAATATCTCTTAAATCAGC